GAGAATGTAAACTGAAATATGAAATTAGAAATCTTGGGATCTCAACATGGAAGCCATTTCCATTTGTTTCGGTAGATATGAGAATGGAATTCCATTCTGCCAAACAAGCTCATTCTCTTTCAGTCACTCACTTTCTCTCAGGTTGCTTTTTTTTTTCTCTAAAGATAAGTTGTAATTTTTTTTTGAATGATAAGTTGTCTTTTAATTTTAACTAACTCTGTAATTTTGATAACCTAGTTATTTGTTTCTTATAAAAAGAATAATAGAAAATAACTCATAATATATATAGACAATTTTTTTAAAATAGCTACTTTAAAGGGAAGTCCCCCTTTAGACTGGCTTTAAATGATTATTTCTGTTTGGATATTGATTCCATGAGAGGAATTAAATGTAATCATAATTTTGTGATGCTGCTTAATTACCTTAAATTACATTGTTGAGACATATAAATAGAGATAGAGACCTCTTGTAATCAAATGCAAAAGACACTTTTGCTTAATTATTTAATATAATACATATAAATATATAAAATTTTAATCCATAATATATGTGTATAGACAGGATAATTTTATCTTTTAATTTATCATTTCTATTTATCCACACGTTCTCTGTAATCTAATCAAATATTTTTATACACATGCATCACCTTTTCATAATGGTATGCCCAATAAAATCATGTAAACATCCGGTCAAAGAGAAAAAAAATGTAAACATCGCTACATTGCATTTTCCTATGATTCAACTAACCAAACGCGATATTAATAAAGACTGATATTATATGGACGACACAGTTATTCTTATCTGTCAACGCACGATAGTCTAAACACAATAATGAGTTGTAGACTATCACAATTCCATTAGTCTATTCTTCTCGTCAATGTGATGGATTATGTTAATCAATAATGCTAAAGTCTGCCCAAGAATATGATTATTCAAAAACTAAAATAGGACGATGAAATAATTGGAAGGGAAATTTTCAAAAATAGTCAAAAAAGTTACTAATTTTGAGAGTTTTTCCTCCTAGTATTATTTTCTCCCTAATTTTCTACCCATCTAAACATAGGGTAGGTTCCTCAAATTTCTCAAGCATCTATTAAGTGAACACAAGAACTAACAGGTGGCTAATAGCTAGACTAGAACCATTATGAAATAAAATCAACGTGATCATATCTTGAATAATAAATATAAGGGCAAATGCGTGTTCAATATATACAGGAGGGGAAGACTAAAATAGGAGGATGAAATACTAGGAAGGGAAACTTTCAAAAATAGTAAAAAAAAAACTAATTTTGAGGGTTTTGCCTCCTAGTATTATTTTCTCCCCATCTAAACATACGGTAAGTTCCTCAAATTTCTTAAGCATCCATTAAGTGAACGCAAGAACTAATAGGTGGCTAATTGCTAGACTAGAACCATTATGAAATAAAATCAACATGATCATGAAGTTAATTGCCTTTAATTTGTCGCTTTGGGGTTACTCCAAAAATTAACCGAATTAATGCAATATAGTGTACAATCCGGGTTGTATTCACTTTGAGGAGCCGAAAATAAAATTAAATCATAGTAAATAAATGCAAGTAACCTAAACTATAAAAAGAATTTTTGATTTGGTAATTTCTAATTAAACACCATGAATTAAATTGAAATTAAAATACTTTTTTTTTTTTATATAAAAATGATCAAAATGAATGAAGATTAAAGAAATGAAAATGAAACACACAAATAACAATGATAATAATCAATCCTCTCATTCAACAACGCAAGCAATCCTCACTCCAAAAGATACGAGAGTTAAAATAATGAATTAAGAATTATAATTAAGCTTTTAATCCAACAACCGAGCCACCTCGAATTGTCACAAAATATTTTCCTAAAATCCCAACTTACTAACTGCAACCAGAATAATAAAATGGGATTAAGGATGCTAAAAACCAATGCTTAATTAGAACTCTTAAATCCAAAACAATAGAATTAAAGTTAACAAGAGACAATATGATCCAAGATGCCAAGTCACCTTAGAAAATCACAATATATTAACTCCAAAATCAATACAAATGTCATAACCACAACATTATAATTGAAATTAAGGCTATAAACAGTCCAATGTCAAATGCTAAACAATAATCCAGTCACAATAATCTCCAAATATAAGCAGATTAAATAATAAAAATTTTCTAATAATCAGAATAACTATCCTAAGACCTAGGAATTGCTAAAGAACTATTAGACAGGAAATTAAAGCAACTAAAACTCCCCTTTGATGATCCGAGCTCTTGCCATTATTGTTGAATTAGAGAATTATGAAGTTAGCCACGGCTTGCCATCAAAAATGCCATAATCAATATTCTGTTACGAGCTTCCATAGAGAAGACAATGAAGACGCTACTGTCGCTCCAGGTCCCTTAGCGCTCGTGCTTCCTCTGCTTGTCTCTCTTGTGCCTGTGTTATGCCGAGAAGGGAAGGAAGAAGATGATGAGTGATGCCGTCGAGCTCCTGCTTCTCTTCCTCTGGCTCGTCGTCCAGCTCCCCTCTTCGCCCCTGTTTAGTGTTTCTATTTTGTCTCCCCCTCGTCAGCTCTCTCTTCTCTGTCATTCTTCTGTGTTGCTCGCACCTCTCTCGCCGTTCTCTTCTCACTGCCACCAATAAGAAGTCGATAATGATGATGGTTTTGAACGGAGATGGGAGAGGTGATGATAGGGATGGATGAGTCTGCCTCTCCACACCGTCGAGCTCCTGTTCTCGCATCTGCCTTGCCCCTCTCTGTTTTTTTCCTTCTGCCGCCCCTCAGCTCACTGGCGTCCTCGTCACCAAATGATGATCATGTGAATAATAGGTTATTAGTGGGGTGGGGGTGCCCCCTTCTTTTTAATTATCTTTTTATTATATTTTTTTCTTTTCTTTTTTTTATTTTTCATTTTCATTTTTAAATATTTCAAAAACTTGCAAATAAAATTAAAGAATAAGGTAGCATTAATTGTCCTAAAAAAATCTATTACTCACAATTAAACCAAAATATGACAATTTTGCCCCTATAAAATAATAATTCAAAATAAAATATATTAAATCAATTAACAATCAATTAAGGTCAAAAGGGACTAATTAAGTTGACAAAACCCATATAAAAGATATCAAAATATATATAAATAATTGAGTTTGTCAACTCCCCCACATTTAGCCTTTTGCACTCCTGGGCAAAACATCAATAAAGAAGAATCTAATAGAGAGACTCAATACAAGCAAACATAAAACTAACTAAGCATGAATGTACAATTAACTCAAGCAACCTTTATTCCTAATCAATCAACATTACAGAATACTTCAGTGCAAAGAAATTAACACAAGAAATATAGTAGGATAAAGGAAGAGAAACACAATAGAGCTCACATAGGGTACAAGTGTTTCACTTATCTCTCAAATGGGAAAAATTTCACTCAATCCACCTAGATTAGCACCTACCATAAGCTTGTAGAGATTCTAATATCTCCACCACTAGCATACCTTAGATTCATGATCAAGGGGACTTGAAGGGTTGTAATGTCGAAAAACAAGGCCAAATGAATGCAATGGACTAATAAGTGAAATGCATGAGTAAGAAAGTATCAACTCAAAGTGAGCTAAAGTACAATCATGAACAATACCAATGTGCAGATTTTACCTTTTGAGATAGAAATCCTTGCTCTTCAAACCACCATTGAATGCCTCATTTCAAATTTATTCTTTTATTGCAACTTATTTTCTTTTCTTTTTTTTCTATAACTTTCTTTCTTTGGCTTTTTCTAAACATTTTCTTCTCTTTATTGCCTTTTTCTATTTCTTTTTTTTTTGCTTTTTTTTCTTTGGCATCCAAACCCAAGAAGGCAAAGTTATGGACATTAATGATGTACTTTTCAAAATGAAAAACCAAATGTAACTCATGCAAAACACTTGCTAAAAAGCAATGAATGGAATGAAAGTGAAGGCTCAAAGGGGTGAATAAAGGTTAAATGAAGTGATTTGTGTTTGGGTAAAGGTTTAGAAATGAGTGCCCCTATCATCTTCATAAACCTAGGTATTAAAGTAGCTTTGAAAAAGAATCTAGACAAGTTCTAGAGATTAACCAAAACTAGGTGAAAATCACACAAGATGAGAAAGAATACATGGCTCAATAATCCTTCTATGAAGGCTTTCTCCAAGATGTTTCCTCCTTAAGGATCAAGCTATGAAACAAGGTTAATAACATTGCACCAAAGGAATTCTACTATGCTAACCAACTAAGAATAGAAATCACTCAAATCAAATGCAGTCAAACTCAACCGTGCAACATTCACAGGCATTGTGCAAAAGGATTTTAAAAGAAATGCCCAAGGATTACAAAAGTCAAAAGTCAGCAACAAAGAAAACAGCAACTCGCCCATACAGCAGTGCAGAACACTAAGGCGAATGAAAGCAAGAGGACGAAGAAACTAGCAGCAAAATTCCTAAGCAAGAATCACTCTCAAATCATGCATGCAATTCAGAAATCAACCAATAAGGCAAAGAAGAGAGCAATTATAGCAGCAATACTTAGGAAAAGGCGCAAATCCAAAGGCAATTTTTTTTTCAAAAAAAAAAACTCAACTCAACAACTCAACAACAATCCCTCCCCCACACTTGATCAATACATTGTCCTCAATGTAAGAAAAACAACATTATCTTAACTTAAACTCTCGGGTGAAGTGGAAGTTGTGAAATCCGATTTGAAATCAGAGCACAACACATCACTATCACGAAGAAGAGAGAAGGAAGAGATAGGATAAGATAATGTGAAAAGAAAATGGACAAGCATAAATCAAGTGATCAAAAGAGATGGCAGAATCAAAAGGAAACAAAACAAACAACTACTAAACAGAAATAAACAGCTACAACTACAACTACTAGAGAAGTTCCCTCCCCCACACTTACTCCTAACTATCTTAGCAACAGATATCACCAGCAATACAACAGAAAGTAAAAGAGTAGGGTGGAAGGGAACAACCGTGTGATCAAGAAGGTCTTTGATTCTCGTGGTAGTGCTTCAGCAAATGGCTGTTGACTTGTGAAGTTATATCGGTCTCCTCATCTATGACCTCTATCATGCCAAAGGGATATACTTTAGTAACCCTAAACAGACCTTCCCACTTGGCGACAAACTTCCCAAGCATCAGCTTTAACCAGGCTTTAAACTTTAGAACCTTGTCACCTTCATGAAACTGCTTCCTCAGAATCTGTTGTCATGAATAATTTTCAGCTTGTCTTTGTAGATTCTGGCATTGTCATAGGATTCAAGTCTCATTTCTTCAAGTTCTTGGAGTTGCATCTTCTGATTGACTAGTAAAGATTCGAGATCTGCATCACATGCCTTGATTGCCCAATAAGGTTTATGCTCGATCTCCATAGGTAGATGGCAAGCCTTGCCATAGAGCAACCGGAAGGGGGACATGCCTATAAGGGTCTTGTAGGAAGTCCTATGAGCCCAAAGAGCTTCCTCAAGCCTTTCACTCCAGTCCTTACGGGATGGTTTCACGATCTTCTCAAGTATTCGTTTCACTCCCAGTTAGAGACTTCAGCTAACCCATTCGTCTGAGGGTGATAAGGAATGGCCAGCTTGTGATTGACTCCATGTTTAGCCAATAGAGACTTGATGGTCCTGTTGCAGAAGTGTGTTCCTTGGTCACTGATGATTGCTCTTGGAATTCCATACCTGTAAAAGATATGAGAACGTAAAAACTTAACAACAGTAGAAGCATCATCTTTCCTAGTTGGCACTGCCTCTACCCATCGAGACACATAATCTACTGCAAGTAATATGTACGAAAACCCAAAAGACAAAGGGAAGGGACCCATAAAATCCATACCCCATACATCAAAGATTTCACAAAAATGCATAGGTCTTAAAGGCATCTCATGCTTCCTACCCAAACTCCCAAACCTCTGACACTTATCACAAGACTTGTAGAAAGAATAAGCATCCTTAAATAGAGAAGGCCAATAAAAAAACATACTCTAAAACCCTCTTAGCAGTCCTATTAGCACTAAAATGCCCCCCGTAAGATAAAAATGTGCAAAGGTAATGATAGAGTGGATCTCATTATTTGGAACACAACATTGATAATCTAGTCGTTGCATTGCTTCCACAAGATTGGAGTATCCCAGATATAGTATCTTGCCTCCCTCTTCAGCTTATCAATCTGAAATTTAGACATAGAAGGAGGTACAAGGTCAGTGACAAGATAATTAACTATATTAGAGTACCAAGGCTTATGAACAGCCAAGGCAAAAGTGCAGAATCAGGAAATGAGTCAATAACAAGATCAAAAGAGTCAACTCCCTGTGTGCCTTCAGGTAACCGACTAAGGTGGTCAGCTACATGATTCTCCACTCCAGCTTTGTCTCTAATCTCAATATCAAACTCTTGTAGCAGTAAAGCTCATCTCAGCAGTCTAGGTTTAGACTGAGGCTTCTTAAATAGGTACCAAACCGCTGCATGATCTGTAAAAACAACCACTCGATAGTTTATTAGATATTGTCTAAACTTATCCAAAGCAAAAATAATAGCAAACAGTTCCTTCTCTGTGGTGGTGTAATTCACTTGAGCAGAATCAAGTGTCTTGGAGGCATATGAGATGACTCTAGACTGTTTCTCCTACCTCTGTCCAAGCATGGCACCTACTGCAAAGTTAGAAGCATCACAAGATAACTCAAAATGTAAATTCCAGTTAGGTGCAGTGAGAATAGGAGGTGAAACAAGCATAGATTTCAAAGTGTCAAAAGCATGCCTACACTTGTCATCAAATTTAAATTCAACATCTTTCTTCAACAAGGTAGAAAGAAGTAAAGCAACTTTACTAAAATCCTTAATAAAGCACCGATAGAAACCTGCATGCCCTAAGAAAAACCTCAAATCCTTTAAACAAGTAGGATAAGAAAGGGATGAAATAAGTTCAATTTTGGCTCTATCAACCTCAACCCCTTTTTGAGAGATGAGGTGACTTAAGACTATCCCTTTATCAACCATGAAATGACATTTTTCAAAGTTTAAAACCAATTTCTTATCGATACACCTCTCAAGAGCCTGCTCTAGGCTATTCAAGCACTCGTAAAAAATCTTACCGTAAATAGTGAAGTTATCCATAAAAACCTCCACGTTTTGCTCTAGAAGATCACTAAATATCACCATCATACACCTTTGAAAGGTGCCTAAAGCGTTACACAACCCAAATGGCATCCTTTGACAAGCAAAGGTACCAAAAGGGCATGTAAAAGTAGTTTTGTCCTGATACTTAAGAGCAATAGGCACTTGAAAATAGCCAGAAAAACTATCCAGAAAACAATAGTGAGACTTTCCTGAAATTCTCTCCAACATTTGATCTATAAAAGGTAATGAAAAGTGGTCCTTTCTCATGGCATCATTCAACTTCCTATAATCTATACACACTCTCCAAGCATTTTGAACCCTAGTTGGAATCAGTTCATCATTTTCATTTCTCACTACTGTGATATTGCTCTTATTTGGTACTACTTGTACTGGACTTACCCACTCGCTATCTGATATGGGATAGATGATCACAGCACTCAACAACTTTGAGACTTCCTTCTTAACCACATCCAAAATGAGAGGATTCAATCTCCTCTGTGGTTGCCTAACTGGCTTGGACCCTTCATTCAAAAGGATCCTGTGTGTGCAAACTGATGGATAATTCCCTGGAATGTCCCCTAAAGACCATCCTATAGCCCCTTTATGACTCTTCAACACAGAAATCAATCTTTCTTCTTTAGAACTACTCAAAGAACTGGAAATAATAACAGGCAATTCAGAATCAGCAGCAAGAAAGACATATTTCAAATTAGGGGGGAGGGGTTTCAGCTCTAAATCAAGAGGTTGCACAACAGAAGGAACTAATTCTTTTATGTCAAGTGCATTCAATACAAGTGGCATGTCCATGTGGCTTGGGGAAGGAGATATAAGCTCATCATGATGTGTGTGTCCTCCACTTTCCAGCTCAGTGCCATTCTTGGATGACCTATAAAAAAGAGGATCGGTATCAATTTTATCATTAGAAACATTAAGAAAATCACAAGGAAGAGTGGGATTAGAAGTGACTAAGTGAGTAGCAATCTTGTTGCTAGCCTCTTCTAATGTTCCAGCACCACTCAAAGGAGAAGCTACTAGTGTAGCTTGCGTAACAACTCTTTTATCATCAGTACCTACAGAATCAGCAAACTCGCCTTTCTCAAGGCTATCGTCAAGTGTAACGTTCAAGGTAGAATCACAGTTAAGACAAGATGATGCATCAAAATCATAAGAGATGGAAAGGAGGTGATCAACTTCTAAACAATTAACACACACCACGTCACCATAACATGCGCAAAAAGAAGAAGAATGAGGGGTAGATAAACAAGTAAATGCATCATCATACTTAGCAATCTCGTCATACCAGTCATGTTCATGCATCTCAGATTTATACAAATCATCAACATCATTAATAGCACAATCAATCAAATTAACACCCCAAGTACGAGCAATCTGCATAACCTTGACTCATAGCATCAGAAATGTTGAGGGTAATCTGTTGGTCCCCAAAGCCCATGGTAATGACCTTGTCTTTCACATTAATTATGGTTTGGGCTGTTCTATGAAAAGGTCTTCCTAGAATCAAAGTGCTATCAGCTTTAATCTCATCAGTCATATCTAGCACATAGAAGTCAGCTGGGAACACAAGACCCTTCACTTGCACAAGAACGTCCTCAAGAAAGCCTTAGGATGTCTCATAGTCCTATCAGCTAGACCTAGCACACACTAGAGGTAGGCATAACATTTATGGCTGCACCTAAGTCTAGTAAGGCATGTGAAATGCTTGTTTTGCCCATGGTACAGGGAATAGTGTAAGAACTCGGGTCTTTACACTTAATAGGTAGCTGTGGCTTAAAGATAGCACTAACACTAGATCTCAGTTGGATTCTCTCACTATGCCTATACTTCCTCTTGTTTGTACATAGATCTTTCAGAAACTTGGCACACTTAGGCATCTTCTTAATCAAATCAAGTAATGGCACATTAACCTTAAGTTTGCTAAACATTTCAAAAAACTCATCATTATCTTTTTTTTCAACAACTTTCTTACTTGTGAGATATGAATAAGGAAAAGGCAAGTCAGAAATCTTTATCTTATCACCTTTGGAAGGTGATCCTTTCTCTATTGGCTCTTTGGATTGAATGGAGGTCTCTTGAGTAGCCTTAGGAATGTCTTGAGTGGTTTTAGAAGGAGAAGACTCAACTTCTATCTCTTCATTTCTTCATCCTCTTCATCTTTTTTGAATTGTACTTTCTTAGCACCAATTTCCTTACTGCTTCTCAATGTAATTGCATTTAAAGATTTAGGATTTATCACCGTGTTGGAAAGCATTGAACCACTAGCCTTAGCTTGCTGTTCACTCATACCATTTGACAACTTAGTGACATAAGAAGTCAAATTAGAGGTTCTAGTTTCCCATTGCTCCATCCTATTCTCTAGGGCTGCAAATCTAGCTTCAGATTTAGCTTCAGACTTAGATATGTGCTCAGTCATTGCCTCAATGCCCTTGAGTATTGGAGAGAATCGCTCATCATCCTTAGACTGTGGTTGTTGTGGGGTAGACATGGCTCTAGAAGATTCTTCTTGTAACCCTCCATGATAAGATTGCCCTTGAGGAACCATATTCCCTTGAAACCCCTTCTGAACTTGCCTATTGTCACCTTCTTCCCATCAGAAATTTGGATGAGCTTTCCATCCTTCATTATATGTGTTTGAGTATGGTTCCATTGCTTAGATTAATTGGCCCTTCCTTGATACATGGTAGAAACTTCCTTATATCTATGAGGGCAAGCAGCAGAGATGTGCATAACAGAGTTACAATGCTCACAACTAGGTATAGTCATCTCCATAGAATTAGGATTCTGAGTGTCAATAGGGGGAGTGTGAGATGCAAGCTTATTCAATTGTGTAGTCAAAGCAGCAATTTGAGAAATGAATGTGTCCAATTGAGGAATGTGGATTGGAGAAGGATTAGTATGCATTGCATTGACATTTTTAGACTCCCTGATGTTATACTGTTGATGGTTCAAGGCCATTTTCTTGATAAGTTCCCATGCCTCCTCAGCAGTTAAATCAATAAAAGAACCTCTAGAAGCAGCATCCAACATCCCCTTGTCTTGGGTCTTAAGTCCGTCATAAAAGTATTGGACTAACTGCTTATCTAGAATCTGATGGTGTGGACATCTAGAAAGTAAGTCCTGAAAACAGTTCCAGTAGTCATAAAGTGACTCATCATAATCTTGCTTTGCAGAGTAGATCTCTTTTCTCAATGTGGAAGTTCGAGAAGCAGGGAAATACTTCTCCAAGAATGCTTTTATGAGGTTGTTCTAGTTATGGTAGGCATCTGCCATATGCCTAGGCAAGCTCA